TTTTGCCGATTAACATGGGGTTTCTTTGGGAGTTGCTTGACGCGTAATTTTTAGGAAATCTAGAGATAGTATAGAACCGCCAAAAAAGTAATGTAACTAACCTGTTTGTTCCAAGTGGCTCTTGTGCTCCTCGAACCATGTCTCCCTGAGGTATGTATGTGTTATATGTGAGCTAATTGGAAAGGACTATAAGTCTATAAACGCATGTTTCGTGCCAGTAGCAAATTTGACCAATGCCGCAATCGCCACAAAAGACTTAAGTCTGCCAAGTGTGAGTGCTACCCAAAAAAACTTGTCCAATCTGGATGGACGGATGGACCATCTTGTAATCTCCAAGGATTGTAACCTATGAAATTTCATCAACCATGTAGAGGGCATATGACTTTGGTCAATTTCACAGGTTGCAATCCTTTGGTCATTTTTTGAGATGATTGTCCATTTGGACATTCTTTTGGATAGCACCCACATGGTAGCCCTAAGTGTTTGTAAACACCATAGTGAATAGAAGTGACGAATGCACTATTTATCCAATCAACTGGAAGGTAGTATGCTAAATTTAGACTATGCATGCATCGGACCAACCAAAGAAAGACTAATAACTAAAATTCCCGTGAATGAGCGCTCTATCCTCTTCACCTCACATTATCATACATAGGACGTTTTTTTTTTCCTGTTTAGATCTCATGAGCTATGAATTTATGCTATCTGAAGGTTCTAAATTTATGCTGGGTCCATGTGTATGCTAATTCATTTCCATTAAATAAACTTAGTAAGAACACATGTTGCGCTGTCCCTCTCTTTCTATATATATACTCTACTCCCTTCGTCCCATAATATAAGAGCATTTTTTATATTGATATAGTGTAAAAAACGCCCTTATATTATGGGACGGAAGGAGTAGCATACACATGGATAAATAGTGGAGTGGAGTGGGGTGGAGGCCGCGTCCTTATATATACTCTACTCAATTTCTTGCGCGTTGATTCTAGTTATAGTTTATAATAACATAACGACCATGTGGAGTGGAGGCCATGCTAGCTGAGCTCCGGCCGGTCGAGCCTCGACGGATGCGACACGATGCTACAGTACGGGCCATCACCATCCGCACGTACGGGCGAGGCTTTCCATTCTGCCATCGCGCTACGCCGTGCAGCGAGCCAGCCAGCCACCACCGGTCCACCACGTACGGCAACGTCGGCACCAACCTACACTGCATGCACTACCACGCGTAAATGGAGGGACGCCGCATTGCGCGGTCTGTGGTCATTGCCATCAGCAGCGAGGAGTGAGTGCCGGGCGCTCTCGTTCCGCTGGTCCTTCCTCCACGAGGCCTTGGCTTCCACGGCCAGGGAGACGCCGGAGGACCACGGCGGCCGGTGCATGCATGGACGGGTAGCGCTGTAATGGTGGCTCTGCCACTGCCGCTGCGCCGCGGTCCAGCGCCATTGATCGGTGGCTCTAGCCAGCTTCCCTTGGATTGGATGCGCTCTCTCCTGCGCTAGCTCCGCCCGGTTTTTCAACGTACGGCGCACGGAGGTGGGCGACGGGCCGGCCGACGTACGCACGCGCCCGCCGGGCGCCGGCTCCACTACCACTCCACGGCGTCAGGCTGAGATAACATGCACCGTTCGATCCGAGTGGGTGGACGTTGGCAGGCCGTTCAATCGGGCCAAAACCGTCCTCTCCGAATGTTGTAATCGAGCAACAGCGAATGCCACAGGTGCCGGTTTGGTACATGGGCAGTCGATTCATAGCATTGCCGTTCTAATTAGAGGGCGATTGTGCTTCCACTCTTCTTAGCACTCTGCTACGGCGAGGTCACGGGTTAATGAATCATCATCAGCCCCTATAGATTGCACGACAATGAATCGATGATCCGTCCCGTGCGTTGTCTTTTGTCCAGACTCTAGAAGGCGCCGTGGCCAGTGCAGCGATCCCATTGTCTTTTGTCTTTTGATCCTCTCTCAAGGAGTGGGAATGGCGATCGGATGGGGATAGGTTTGGCCCGAAATAGACACATGGTACCACCTCGATAAGAGCCGGCTGTGCGCACGAATCGGTAAATCGGCACGAGCGTGTTCACAGGAACAAAGGTGGGCAGGACGGCCGGATGATCGAGCAAAGCACTGCAACAACAAGAGTGGAATCCAGTTAAAAGTTGGCACGCCACTAGGTACTGTACACCGCATCATCGCGGGATGCAATGTACACTACTACTGCAGCTTTGGCGGCACAAAGGGGGAGGGCTGCCCACATGAAGATACCCCAGCCTTGATTGGGGAAGGAAGGAAGGAAGGAAGCTGTCGCGCAGATCTGGATGGAATCGGCTTGATCGCAGGGTACGTAGTACAGAGCGGATGGATGGATGGATCATGGTGATCCGGCCAAGATGCAGCCGGTACCTGCGCAGTTCGTCAATGATGCCTCCCTCCCTCCACCATGGGGATCCTCCATGTGAAAGCTCTCGAGATCCTGTGCAGAGTGCAGACCAACCTCATCTTCTTCCATGCTCTCCGTGTCCATGGTAGAATCTGCTCCGCACTCACGCCGACTTCATGGCAGGACCAAAGCGGGCAATTTTTCTGAAATAGCATTATAACCAGAAAAGAGCGAGTAAGTATGGATTTCAGAAGCTTTGCTCTAGGAAAAATTTCAAGTCCGAGCTTTCGACGATAATATATATTGTACTCTTCCCGTCAGCCACACTCTGAATTTCAAAAACCACCGCCTGTTTACAGAAAAGATCATCAGCTGGACGTGCTATGAGTTCTATGAAAAACAGTCAGATCAGTCCATGTTCAGAAATACCAGCAGAATATGGTCAAAAGGAAGCAATACAGCACAAGCTGATTCAGGGATCCACTAGCGCCCAGCGTAGCGAGATTTCCCGCACTACTCGCTCAGATATAGCCCCAGTCCCACTGTTCCACCTTACCCTTCCTAGGACTCTTGTCAACTTGCCCTTCCCACTACTCACAGGTATATGCGAGTCAACTGCAGAATATTCATCCACCACTAGGACTTTCTTCAGGCTCGACCCTTGTGAGTTTTGACTACCCACCAGACACTAGTACAGCACAGGGCGATACAGCAGAAATCATCATACTGTTTGCGACCTCCTCTAACAGGATATGGCCACCTTTAAAAAGACCGCCAGCATACCTGAGAACAAAATCAAAGAACGAGTTACCGTGGATGAAATAATCCAGTTCCCTGTCATGGGTCAACATGAATGATAGATCAAGTGAAGGCTAAAAATAAACAAGTGAAGGTTCTAACCAGAAGAATTGAGCTGAATACTTTCTGAATCTGAAACAAAAGTGCCGGGTTGTTGCAACTGAATGTTGCATGGCCTGAAAGTTTTGAAGCTTCCAGTACGTACAAGCGCCCATAAAGGATACAGAGGTTTGCAGATGGGCTTGACTGTTATAAGCACATCTTCTGCCAAGGTAGCTGTATATGTACCCACCACTTGCACAAAAGGCAAAGAGCACTCACGAAAAGAGTTAGAGTAACAGTGGAAATGCCACTTCCAAAGAGAGGTGAAATGGGTACTCGTTATGAATGTACCATCCATAAATCTTGTATAAACATCAAGTTTAACCATTTGTGATCGAAATTTCATTCACACAACATTCAGAATTGAGCAGCCCATACGAATGACTCGGTAGGTTCTAAGTGATTGGAGCATTAAAATAGGACAGCCAGGTGCACGCAGCTCCCGCTTGCGCAGGGTACCGGGAGAGGTCCGACCACTTTGGGTCTTTTGTACATAACCTTCCCCAGAATTTCTGCAAGAGGTTGTTTCCAAGACTCGAACCCGTGACCTCATGGTCACAAGGCAACAGCTTTATCGCTGCGCCAAGGCTCCCCTCTAAGTGATTGGAGCATTCATAGCAAGAATTTCAACTTTTGTGCACCAACCAACCTAACACAGTAACACCATCCTCCAACTCAAATAGCGCCAAAAGTTTTTCTTTTCCCTTTTTTGGTGTTGGGGAAAGACGAGTGCCAAAGGATGGTAGGAGGCCATCTCAAGATTCAAACTGTACAATCTTGTCACTAGAAGTTGATTTGCAAAATTTTAGATGACTAGCATATTCATTTACATAATCACAAAACAATGCTGTAGGAAAATTTCATCGAAGGAAAAATAGTGCAGTGTGACAAAAAATTGGAGTATCCCTAACATAGTAAACATGGTAAGTAAACAGTTTCCTCTAAGTACATGCAGAAGAACATACAATTCTATAGCACATTTTGCAGACATACTATTCTATGGCAAATTCTGCAGACACCTTAAAAATCATTTATCTGTAACCCATCTTCATTTTACAACTGTACATATGCAAATACCTTAAACAGATTACATCTTCTAAGCAATACCAAAACTAAAAGGGACAATTACAGTTCCACATGTACCTTTTTTTTTTGCCGCAGTGAACATTAATCCCACCAGCTATAGAAAAGAAGTTCACATTCAACAGATGCTAAAATAGTCTGCCTTCTCCTCAAATATTCAGCCCATTCCCCTTTTACAATCTCATCAGTGTCCATACATAGTTAGAAATAATTTGCTTTCTCATTTAGTATTCTTGATTTTACCAATGCAAACATGTAATAAAAATGATGTCACAACATAACTTCTTTTCCTAACATTCCAACATTACTTTTAGTACTTCCAAGTGAAAATTAGGTGCAAGCCTGAGACTGGATATTTGGATCTCATCATCTCAATGCAACTGCAACAAGCTGTATTCATCAGCATTAAAAAATTAATGCGCAACATTTTGACCTCATAGTTATCAGTGCGACCCATATCGATCACTACCAGTTCAAGCAAAAGCAGCAAGGATTGACAGATAACATAAATCTTTGAACTAATTCAAAGCAAACCATAAAAAGCACAAATTATTCCATCACATTTCATAGATACAGATACAGGCAACAGCTAGAAAACATCACCAGGAAGAGATCCATCCGAGAAGAAGGAACCTAGATCAGAAGTAGAGCCCCATCTGGACGTTCTTCTCCACGAATCCGCACTTGGCGTAGAACCCCCTCAGCTCTGGGGTGCAGTTCAGTATGACCTTGTAGCACCCCCTCGCCCTCGCGTGCTCCACGAGGCGGCGCACGACGCCCTCGCCGAGCCCCCGGCCGCGCGCCGCGGCGTCCACCACCACGTCCTCGACGTGCCCCACGGTGCCGCAGCGCCGGATGAACTTGCGCTCCACGAGCACCGCTCCCGCGGCCGCGATGCGGCCCGTGCCGGCGTCCTCGGCGACGAGGACGAGGTGGTCGCCGCCCAGGGCCGCGAGCTCCGCGAAGCGGGAGCGGAAGGTGTCCTCGGTGAGGGGCGCGGAGGGGGAGAGCTGCGCGAGGAGGTCGCAGAAGCCCTTCGAGAGGTCGCCGAGCTCGAGCGGTCGGATGCGGTACGCGTCGGCGTCGGCGTCGACGCCGGCGCCGGCCTCCGACGCCGTGGCTGCTTGCGGTTGTTCCATCGGCGTGCCGTCTGACGACTTCGGCCAGCGAGATGGAGGGACGTCAAATAAGGCCCAACTGGTGTTAATTGGGCCTTAGTAGGCTCATGGGCGAACTCATGTGGGCCGGATCTACAAAGATTCGCCCGTTGCGCGTCGCCTCAAATTGGCATTTCGAAAACCACTTTCCCGAAGGCACCCGCCCAAAGCCCCAAACACAGCCGACAAATCCCCAAATCGAAACGCGTCACGTCGCCATGGTCGCCGCCCCCATCCCCGCCGCCGGCGAGGCGACCCCGCCCCCGGAACCGCCCCCGTCCCGCGTATCCGTTCGTTCCTCCTCCTCTTCCTCCCGGCGCCGATGCGCCCTCTCGAGCCGTTTCCGCGAGCCGGCGAGCCCGCGGCGCCACGCGTGGGTCTCCCTCCAGGGCCGCCTCGTCGCCGCCGAGGAGGCGGCGTCCGCCGAAGCGGCCGCGCCGGGCCTAGCGCCAGATGAGGCGACGGCGTGGGAGCTCTTCAGCCCGATGCACCGCGTTCTCCTCGTCGCCACCGTGGCGGCCGCCTCCTCCCGCTCCCACGCTGCCCGCCGCATCGAGCAGCTCCAGCGATCGATCCATTTCAGGGTTTGCTTCTACTTATCTCCTCCATTCCGATCTTATTTGGATACGCAGTGGCCACCATATGCTATCAAATGTGCCCGTGCTGTTTAAACGAGTTACTATTTGAGATCTCTTATTATATACAGTACTAGGTGATTGGGCTCCACCTCCACTAGAGCGTTGCACATTTGTAGTATATTGTAGCAATACTTTTTGTTCAACTTTTACCTTGTTGAATCAGCAATACAAGTGAATTGGCAAAGTAATGTTTCCATTGTGCAGGATGAGGTGCTGCAAAGCATGCAGCAGAAGCTGGATGATCTGTTGGGCGAGATGCACTCCCTGCAACAGCAATATGTCAAGTGCGACAGCTTCATTTCCACCCAGAGTGAAAAGGTTGAGCTGGTGAGCAGCAAGAAGCTAATGGATGAGGAGGGAACCAGATGCTGCGTGTGCTCACAACCAGTGACTGCTGCTACTCCTTACAAGACAAAGGTATATGTTTACAGAGAGTATGCTCCCAGCGGTGCTTTTGTCTCCCTTGTATTCTCTTACGCTGGACAAATGTGCAGGATTTCTGTGGAATGGATGATGCAAAGAGCGATGTAGTTGATAGGACTAGTGTAAGTCTTGTGGATCATGAGGAGCGCCGGATGTCGGATCTCTCAGACATTTGGAGTGTTGTATCCTCTGTGGATAATCATTTAAACGGGGACAATCAGGTAACTAAGAATGTACTTTTCGGAGGCGGAAATACCCCTTTTGTGTTTATATTCATTTATGATTATAGTTTGTCCTGGTCATATACACCTGCATGTTTCCATGGCATATGTATTTTTTATGCTAAATTCAAATGTGCTCTTATCATCATTCTTTGATCAATGTTTAAACACAAAAAATTGTTAGTGATATCACTGGTAAATTCTATCCAGCTAAGTTCACTGGCAGCAGAACAAGAGTTGTATAACATTCAGAAGGAGTGTGAAGAGAAGGATGCGATTATAAAGGAACTGACTGCAGCTGCACATACATCTAGCACTGCTGATGCCAAGGTATGCCTTATCTCAATGTTTGCATGCTACTTTGTGGGTGGCGTATTCTTACAACATTTTTTCTCTTTTTGTGTGTAGAGAATTGCAGAGCTGCAGGATATTCTCAAAAGGAAAAACATGGTGATATCCAAACTGAAGAAAGACATGTCAGCTCTGAAGCAGATGGTAAGCAGTTATTCTAGGTTCTACTGTCTGTATATTGTTATTTGTAAATTATTATTTTTTCAGGTGAAATGCTGACTTCTCATGTCTTTTTGTTTGATAACAATAGGTTGTTGAACTAACAAGGGCTAAAAGAGCATCTTCTGTCAACTTAAATACAGCCTGCTCTGAAGTCCCAGTGATGTCAAGCAATATTTTATATGATATGAGCAGCACTAGCCCATCATCATCATCGGATTCTGAGTCTCCTGTAACAGCGAGAGAATACCTTAATGTGCAGCTCACTGACGGCACTCCAGGAGACTGTGAATCCACAGGAAGCTCTAGAGTATCAGTGCGAAAAACATCTCTTCCTCCAGCAAAATCATCAGTGCGCTCGACTGTCCCACTCAAAGAGAAATGTTTAAATCCAAAAGTGGAAACAAGTTTCGTTGGTAGACAGAAGCAACTTATATCCTCTAATGGAGACTTTAAAAAGACTAGACGACAAAGTCACCAAGATTCAAGGAATAAAGCTACAAAGAGATGGATATAGAATCTGGACTGCGAGAACTTATTACCAGGTAGGTACACTGTTTATGCTTGAATTCACCTCATCTCATTATGCCACGAAGTTTATTGAATATCTTACGTCAAAGAAGAAGAAGCAACCTATCAAATATGCCATTCTGTTCAGTTCATCTTTTTGACGGGTTCTGTTTAGTTCATCTTTGTTGAATGCATAATTCTTCTCCCTCAATTCATTTTTATATCTATTCTTTTTGTGTGTGGCTGCATCTTTGTAGTTGTCACCCTTCATTAGTTTCTAGTGCTAGTCGTCACTTAATCTTCCACTCAGAAAAAGGAAGGTGTATTTAATCTTACCAATTAGATACCCTTTTTCAAGACCGTGAGAATCTAGCACTTTGATTATTCTGTCAAATGAACACGTTGAACTAATTGACTGAGCGAAATGCCTAGACCCTATCCCCTGATACTCTGTGCATCTCCTTCCCTGATGCAATTTTTAATGTCATTAGCCGCCCTGTTACACAAGCCCTTTTAGGACGACACTTCTATGAATTCAATAGCCGCACACGTTCCTTTCTTGTTTGCTCACCTTTTATGTAAGTGCATTCTACTTCTTTGGTAATGATATCCACTGCATAGTGCTTGATGTTACAGCCAGTTATCTTCATTCCCCATCTTGCTGCAATAGCATGTAACAATTTCCTCTTGCAACTTCTTTAATTAATTACATCCATTTTTTTACATTTCAGATCAGGAAAGGAAGTTGGTTGGTTAGGATAGCCTGTCAGGGTGATGCTTCCTAGCTCCTGCTGTTGTCCGGTGAAAGAAAATGGATGCATGCGATGCAAGTTGCTACATACTTTAGTTATGTCTGTCATGGAGCCAACCAATCCATGATCTAGGCTCGTCATTGGTATCTTCTCCGTTGTAAAATATGTCATTTGGATCTCAACAGTCTGCATCTCCCTGGTCCTGATTCTTGAACCCATCGTTTATAGTATTTAATTACTGGATTAGTTTATCTGATGGAATCTCGGAGCTCGTTTTAAATTGAATGGTACGTGCATCCCCATTCCCTAATGTGGTTTCTGGTTCCCCGTAGCAAAGCTGTCATGGTGAAGTTAGTTGTCTAGTAATGCTAAGAATTTGTCTGTCAGGGTAGCAGGCACCAATAATTGTTCCTGCATTTTGTCTACGTGACAGAATTATTTCGGGATACACATATCATCTCCTGTTTAACTATATTCATTGGCTCAATCCAATTCGCGGAGGCTAGATCTCAGGTGTCGATATGGTGGACGGTTGTGCATAGTTTTACAGGGTTGTCATACTGAAACAGAGCAACGGTCTCGTAGCAGTAGGACACCGCCGGCTGATGCTGGCAAAGTCATAATCTGGACCTGGGTTCACATGCTCTTTGTAAATAACACGAAAAAACTTAAAGATACGATTCGAAGACTGTAGAAATCATAAGGTCGTACTTTTCGCAGCAAGTTACAAAACTTGCAATGAAGTTTGATCATTTGTTGAATTTATATAGTGTGCAAATGGTCATGTGTAAATTTTGAATGCACGAGGACGTGGGCATAGCCCAGTGGTTGGGGGCGCATGATTGTAAACCCAACGACCAGAGTTCGATCCACGTCGGGGACGAATTTCTGGAATTCTCATGAGGGATGCTTCTTCTATATCAATAAACCGTGGGTGCTAGTGCCCATGGAGTTTCAAATTTTGAATGCACATGCTTGTATCCATTCTTGCACCATTTTTTCCGGAACCTCAAATAATGCGATTTTCGCTAAAATTTCTAGCAAAGATCATGTAGAACCAGGTTACAAATACCCCCTTAGTTGATGTTGTTCCTTTTCAATGCCCCACAACAACCTTTAGACTTGTGGAAAGGCCTAAGGCCATATATTAACTATCAAATACTCCCTTCGTCCGGAATTACTTGTCTTAGAAATAGATGTATCTAGACGTATATTAGTTCTAGATACATCCATTTCTATCCATTTTAGCGACAAGTAATTCTGGACGGAGGGAGTACATCCTTACAGAAAAACAAAACGAAATCCGAACCTTTAGGAGTGCCAAAATCCTCTTCCTCTTGCATCCACCGGCGGCGCACCGTGAGCAAAACTTGTTGCCGCCTCTGGGCCTCTGTCTCGACGGAGTAAACTTTTTTAAACTAAGGAGCTTGTAGATGCAACGGACGAGAGGTCATCGATGTATACCAGAAGACGTCGGCAGCCATGATTTGCGTAGCAAATTGCTGTCCTGGATAAAAAAAACATCGAGAGGGCCCTCGGATATTGTTGTCCTGAATAAAAAAAACAACGAAGAGTGCCCTTAGATACCCCCAAGACCACGAGCATTGGTCGAACCCAGATGAATCCACTAGTGACCAAGACCGGTGTAAGGGCATATTTATCCCTAAGGTGTTTTGGTGATTGATGACAACGCGTTTGCGGACTAATCGTGTGCCTTGAGTATCCCAGACATTTCATCGCTAGGCACAAGACGGTTGGGTGCCCCTCGAAGACTATTGAAGACGGTGTCTTTTCTACGTTTCTTTTTGGTGGATTTGAGTCGTAGGAAAGCCGTACTATTAAGAGGGGGTCCGCGTCGGAAAGGTTTGGGTGGAATCATCATGTACACGTCTCTTTCTAGTCCCCTCCTTTTCCCCTGGAGCTTCCTC